CCCCAAAACCCCAAAACCCCAAAACCCCAAAACCCCAAAACCCCAAATAAAAATATTAAATTGAATTGAATTAAGAAAATATGCCTGCTTCAGTTAGGCCTTCAAGCGCTTCTGTTTCAGCGACTTGTAGGCGATCGAATGGCTCAGTTGCTCGTCCACTCAGTGCAAGGGTACAGAGCAGTATGAAAACTAGCACAATGACTCAAAGTCAGAGCATGTCTGTGGTAGGGTCTCAATTAAGACCGACTTCAGCTCATACAAACTCCATGGTCAATATTCATGGTCATCCCTTTTACAAGTGTCCGCAGTCTGGAGCTCTAAAGTTTTCCTTCCCCAAATACACTATTCCAAAATGAAAATCAAAGTCATTCCTTGATGGAATCCAAAAGAACGCTCGGAGATGTCCTGCACCAAATTCTTATAAGCTAGCAATGTCTTGGAAGGGCAAGAATGCTCAAATAAAGGGCACTAAAAGAATCACCTTTACTGATGAGATTAAGAAAGAAAAGAAGAAGATCCCAGGCCCTAACAAGTATAAAAATCTTGACAAGCTTCGCAAGAGAATTCCTAATGGAAAATTTGACCAAACCAAAGGAGTCAATTTCCTGAGCGAGTGTGAATTCCTTTCAAAATCTCAGCCAGGTCCTACTAAGTATGAAAATCAAAAAGTAAAAGTGCTAGTCAGGAACCCTTCCTGGAAGTGGAGTAATCCTAAATAAACTCAAGCACTGGAAACCTAAGAAAGGGAAGGGTCCAGATCCAGGCACTTACAACCATCATGAGAGTGTTAAGAAATGCAGCAGCATGAAGAAAATAACATATAGCTTGCCATTCAGTGGCAATAAAGGCAGCTACTTAACCACTAGGGATAAGAAGAAGGCTGGGTTTAAAGATAAAGCTTACTACCTCCAGAAACCAATCATGGACAAAAAATTCGTCCCTGGAGTCGGCCAATACAAGTAAATCGCTTCTCTGATCTATAGGTTCGAACAGTGATACGACCACATTGCTAGGCCAACCAGAAAATGCAGATAATTTTCATTTCAATAGTAAAGTTAAATACTGGGGTTTTGGGGTTTTGGGGTTTTGGGGTTTTGGGG